AACCTATGGCACGGGTGCCAGAGGCGGCACTCAGCGCCCTCTCTGTGGGCACGCGCACCGTCGCCCCAGTCCTAGGCCTTCAGCTGGGTTTTATAAAACCTTTTCGCTTTAGGCCTCCGCCACCATGTGCAAAAAAAAAAAAAGGTTCAATCAGTCAATTTCAACTTCTCGCGGGGAAAAAAAGATCTCGCAAAGTTGGAATTGATTGATTGAACTTTTTAGTCCTACCCAGTCTGCCGTTACCACTGCAGCGATGCCCACCCAATGGGCCACACCCACCCGGCATTTGATGATGCATAAGTGGGTTTGGGGTTGCAGTTTGGGCACTCAGTCTCTAAAAGGTTCGCCATCACTGTCCCAGGCCATTCTATGGCTGGTCTTCCATTCTGGACAGAGAAGATGGTGGCCTCAGAAACAACAAATGGTCCAGTGGTGGTCTGCTGAAACTCTGCACAAGAGATAGCTAAGGCTGAACTATATGTAAGTTTGTGAAGGGTGTTATTTTTGGGGAGGAGGTGTTCCCTATCAAGTGAACAACAAACTCAGGTAGCTGGTTGCCTATTAATTTGGAACTGAAATGGCACCATTCAAAAATGCTTCTTTAAGTAGGATGGAATGTTATACAGAAAATCAGGGTAGCTGCTGAAAACAGAAGACACAAACAAAAATGAAGAACAAATAAGTAAGAGGGAATTTATTGGTTCACACTTTGTAGTAAGTAGCCTAATGAGATGGAAGATTAAAACATCTCTAGCAAGCTTTCTATTTCCTTAGAAAAAAAAACCAATACAATTCTCTACACAACTGGGAATGAAAACTTTCTACTCCTATAAAACAGGAGAGGAAGCCAGCACTATCATAGGACAAGGCAATACAGCAGCTGGCTTGCTGCAAATCATCACCTTCATTTACAGAAATACTTTCAGCTGTGCCTAAGGCTAGCACAGAGGTACAAGAGAGAACAGTTTGTCAACTTCTGATGTCATGTTAATGGTAATAGCAATGATAGCAGTGTTCCAATATCTCAGGGGCTGCCACAAAGAAGAGAACATCAATCTATTCCCCAAAGCGCCTGAAGGCAGGACAAGAAGCAACGGATGGAAACTAATCAAGGAGAGAAGCAACCTAGAACTAAGGAGAAACTTCCTGGTAGTTAGAACAATTAATCAGTGGAACAACCTGCCTCCACAAGTTGTGAATGCTCCAACACTGGAAGTTTTTAAGAAGAAACTGGACAATTATTTGTCTGAAATGGTATAGGGTTTCCTGCCTAAGCCGGGGGTTGGACTAGAAGACCTCTAAGGTCCCTTCAAGCTCTGTTTTTCTGTTATTCTGTCATGCCCACTATGGAAGCCATTTTTGGAACAGGCAATCTCCTTTCACCAGCAGCTATTTCATGAATGTATCCATAATGCCAATATTTCAAATCTGCATATTGGGCCTCTAAAAGTTGCCTACAGGTAATCCTGAATGTACAATCATTTAAAAGACCATCTGAAATTACAACCATGCTGGAAAAAACCCCTACAACTGGTCCTTTACACTTACAACTGTTGCAGTGTCTCCGTAATCATGTGATCAAAATTCCGGCACTTAGCAAATGACATGTATGTACAATAGTTGCAGCATCCCAAGGTCACATGAACCCCATTTCCAACATTCCCAGCCTGTTTCAGAAGCAAAGTCAGCAGGCAAAGCTGGATTTGCTTAATGACCATGTGATCTGCTTAAGGACCATAACAAAAAAAAGTTATAAAATTAGGCATGACTCAGTTAATGACCATCTCTTTTAGCAATGGATGTTCTAGTCTCAATTGTGGTCTTATGTTGAAGACTAGGTGCACTTCTGCTGTATCCTGTAACTGGAAATACCGTTAAAAGCAACATGTTCCAGACTAATTGGAAGAACATTAACATTCTATTGCAGACTCCACATATTACACTTGTTTGG